AGGATAAATAAATTTAATATAACTTATTATAATCTTAGTTTATATATTATATAAGTATACCTCTAAGAGTATAATAAGTTATATTAAATTTATTTATCCTTTTATATATTTAATATTAGATTATATATTAAAGCTTAATAATCTCCTCTATAGAGAGAGCTTCTATTAGAATAATAAAAATTACTCTATTTAGAGATATTATTAAGTATTTTAGGATACTAAGTAGGTAGCTAATATTCTTTATAACTACTACGTTTTATATAAAGAGGTTATTACTTTATATAACTAGAGAATAGTTAATAATTATTAGTTTAATTAGTATAATAAATATATCTAGAAGTAGCTATTACTTCTTATTAGTAAAAGATATTAAAAGAGAGATAATCTAATAGTTATATTATATCTTATAGTTATTCTCAAATTAGTATTAAGTTTATTTTAAAGCTAAGATATAGTATAATATTATTTAAATTATTATAAACTTTATTTATATTATTTAAATTCCTAAGTTTATTTATAGGTTTATTAAAAGTAAATATAATAACTTATTTCTAAACTTTAAGATAGCTATTATATATTAGTAAATTTATTATCTCTAAGAATAATTTAGGTAAAAGTAGGATTTATTAGTATAAAAAGATAAGTATATCTAATTTAGTTTAGAAATATTTCTTATAATATTAATAACTTTTAAGGTTACTCCTTATTTAGAATATTTTAGTATATACCTTAGGTATTAGTTATTATATAAAGTATATAGTAGTATTTACTATAATTAGATAGATAATATAGGGTAAGATCTACTAGTTTTAGACTTAACCTCTATACTGCCCTACGTATGGGCTTTTGGACTTATATAGGGTGTGTGATTCTGACCTTGTGTGTATTGTTAAGAAAACTGATGTTATGGAATTTGGCAGGGGCTGGACGTGGGAGAAAAATTCCACTTTAACGCGAGCACCTAAGAGATGTATGACTAAGCTATAAGCATGGGTTCTAGACCACTCGGCCCCTTTAGTCCCAGCAGGTCTGGGGATGGGACTTCCAGTGGAACTGACCTGACGGATAATTAGGAATTCCGCCGTTGAAACACAGCTTCCTGGGTTACATTACGCTCTCACATAAACACACGTCTCTAGCTCACGTTGGCCAACGAAAAGCTTCAGAAATGATTAAATCCATTGACAAACGAACTTTTGTATTCGCGGCCATGAACAAAGCACGGTGACAAGAGGTCTCCGTACTGCTCGGCTCTGTGCTTTGGCTTTCCAGCCTGCGTTTTCTAACCCTTTCCAGGAACAGGCCTCAGCTTTCCGGCTTGCTTTCCAGATGACGCCGCATCAACCCCAAGAACCCTGTCCCCTGGAATTCACTATACAAATGAACCTCACAACTCCATACCATGCATTGTACCGAGCCTCTTATGTGTATCCTACAACCTCTTAGGAAAAGTGAGATATTAGACTTTTCAGTAGCCCTTGACGGGGCTAAGACCGTATTTGGCCGGGCTCCGTAGCCGGTCCCGATCGCCCTTGCTCGGGCTTCGCCGTCCCGAAGGTGTTCGCGGCGGCATGATCATCTTTGGCGGAGATGCATCCGTGTCCGTAGCGTCGCTATCCATGTCGTACTTGAGATGTTGTCGGCGGCGGGAGGGCGTTTGGATCGGAACCCACATGTATGCTTGTGAGGGCTGGGGAATCACCGACGGCTCTGGAGCAGAACCGGATGCTGCGCGGTGCACTGCAGGCCGATCGGTGCTGGCCGTGTTTGCGAGGCGGCCGAGCGTTAGGTTGTTTGCAACGATACACAGAAGGAGAATGCCGAAGAAGAAGACCTGTCATACAAGATTAGCAATGACGGGTCAATCCTCACGGCGGTAGTGTCCAGTAACTTACCCAAGCCTTGACTTGCATCGCGCCCGCAAATTCGTTGAGAATTTCTGCAATTTGCTTAACCGTGACTCTCACGCGCATGATGGCTGACGGGTCCTGAATCATGCATTCATACCACTCATCACACATGGCCTTCAGCGCCGGCCTGTCCTTCTTGGCACATTCGTTGAGCTGGTACTCCGAGCGGCATTCTGCCATCCTGCTTTCGATCTCCTGGCGAGCCACTTCGTTCGCGTTTCTAATATCGGACCGGACTGTATCCACAATGGACCAGCAGAAAAACACGAACGCAGAGACGAGGACGCAGTTGACAATCAGCTGAATCCAGCGGTAGAGATTCTCTGGAGCATTCGGGTGCTCCTCGAGAGTATGGAACAAGTTGCCGATCCAGGTGCGGTTGTTCCTCTTCTTTCCCTTGCTCCTTTGTGACGACTGCCGAGAATCGTCCTCCGAATCATCCTCTGAGTCCCAGTCCTGCGAACCGTGGAACCGTACGCTTCCGCCAACATCGCGGTCCATGTTATGACGCTTCCGCTTCCTTATGGCGGGATAGTCTCTTCCTCCTCTTGGAATCTCGCCTTTGCCTGGCGCATGGCGCTTCAAAGATTGCAAGCCAGTTTTGGCGTACCGGAAGCTCTTATCAACCTTGGAGGGCGTCATTGTGCCCATATTCATATCTCCGAATCGATCGATTTCGGGGGTGTCATCCGGGAACTCGGAATTTTCGGTCAGGGCGGGGCTGCTCTCTGCGCCGGAAGCTTCTGAGAAGACCGATTCATCGAAGGGCTTGCGCGGTGTCGTAAAAGCAGGATTGCGAAACGGCGGCGCGGTGTTGCTGCTCTGAATCCTCGGGGAGAACAGTGAAGTCTGGGGTGGCAGGGAGGGTAGTGGCTTGGACGGGCTGTTGGCGAAAGGGTTCGGCTTGGAGGGGCTGCTGGCGAACAAGTTCGGTCGAGGGCTGGCGAATTTATTCGGAGAGTTGAAGACTGCCACAGAATCGCGGTCAGCGGGGAGAAACTGATGGCATATGAGGGCAGTCTGGGGCGGCGAATGTGTGTATCCACAAGCAAACGTACTGTTTTTGGTGCTGCTTTTTGCAACGTGGGAAAACGGGCTGGTTGCATCCAAAGGGCCACGATCCTGGTATTCCCATTCCATGGGGCTTTCATATGTCCGACGGTCCATGTTGGAGCTTTCGCATGCACAGCAGAAGTGTGGGGAATCAAAAAACAAAGGAAGACGAAGCCAAGATTGAACGAGAGGTGAAAGCGAAAGCAAAGTTGTTGGTGAGAAGTGTAGAGTGCGCAGTGCAAGAGCTCGTCACAGACGATCAATTGGGGTAGTGGTGGTGGTAGCGACCAACCATGTAAGGAAATGTTCTGGGCTGCTGTCAATGAACAAACCAGAATCTTACGTTTGTTGGAAGTAAACAAACCGTGCCTGAGGCAACGGAACCTCCTGGTGGCCTGGTCCCGTCGAACTCCACTGGCACAGTACGTACCGCCGCCGTCTTGGCCGATGTGGCTGAACGTCAGATGAGGCTGAGGCTCTAAGGTATCTCCCTTCTATCTAAGCTTGGACCAACTGAAAATCAAAGGACCAAACGACGCTTCTTCCGCCTCTCCAATCTCATCCCTCAACTATTCCCATTTCCTACGATCACTTTTCTGCCGTGGCAACTGCTTTGAAGAGCTGCACCTGCTGCTTACGTCTCCGCGATCGAAAGCTCACTCTCCGGGCCATTTCAAACCCCCATTCAGCATCACACATCTGTCGTCGCCAACATGTCGGACCTTGAATCTCTCCCCGAGTCGCCAACGCGCGACGACCACGCCAACAATGAAGAGCCTCGTGAGGGTGCGGGTGGCGCGACCGCCGAAGATCTTTCCGACCAGGAATCGGATAACCTCTCGGAAATCGACGAAGACCAGTTTGAGGACTACGACCCTGCCACGGCCAACATTGAAGATCGCCCTATAACTGTCGATGAAGACGTCGCTAAGACGCTCAAAGCTGGAAAGCGAAAGGTAGCCGATGGAGACAAGCCAAGGAAACCAAAGGAGGGGCGAAGAGACAAGAAACGGTCGCGCGATGATGACGCGGCTGGCGATGCGGACGGCGAGGCTGGCAGACCAGCTCGGAAGTCGAGACGCGCTGTTGGGGACGGCGAGAGGAAGCCGCGATCCAAGGCTGCCTCACCGGAGATTGATGATGAATCTCACCTGTCTCCTGAGGAGCGCAGACGCCGGGCAATCGATCGAGCTCTGGACGCCGCGATGAAGGGGCCTACCAAGCGCAAGAAGAAGAAGGACGAGATCGTGAGTAGCCCGCTTTCCCAGGCCAGAGAGGACAAGTCTTGACTAACAACATTATGATGTAGGACCTGGAAGATGAAATGGACGAGCAGATAGCTGATCTGAAGGTCGCGATGGAGAGAGCATGCGAGGCCGACAATTCGGCGCGCGAGGCGGGCCAACCCGCCGTTCACAAGTTGAAGCTCCTACCCCAGGTTAAGGACTTCCTCAACCGCAACAATGTTCAGCATGCCATTCTCGACCCTGACACGAACTTTCTGCAACACGTCAAATTCTTCCTGGAGCCCCTTAATGACGGTTCTCTTCCAGCATACAACATCCAGAGAGAGATCTTCCAGGCCCTCATCCGTCTGCCCATCGAAAAGGAGGTGCTGCTCAGCAGCGGCATCGGAAAAGTTGTTTATTTCTACACCCGCTCGAAGAAGCCTGAGCCTGGCATCAAGCGTATGGCCGAGCGGCTGTTGAGTGACTGGAGTCGACCGATTCTGAAGCGAACGGACGACTACAAGAAGCGCCACATCGAGACGCGCGAGTTCGACTACGAGTACGTCTCCCTAGTTCAGTGTCACACGAAAGCGTTGCTAATCTTTCGAACAGGGCACTCAAGATGTCTCAGCGCCAGGCAGGCAGCTCGCAGTTCAACCTTCCCCAGCGGCCTTCGCAGTCAGCCAGGGAAGCAGAACGTGAGGCCATGCTCGCGCCGGTCGTTACTTCCAACCGCGCTCGTCCTGGTGGCCTCCCTTCGAGCTACACAATCGCACCAAAGAGCACCTACGACGTGTCTCGTGCGCCGGATCACCGCCCTATTGGAGCGGGCGGCTTGGAGGCATTCCGCAAGATGACGGCGAAGGGCAAGAAGCGATGAGGGAGCCGCATGCCATGATGGCAGGGTGTAGCAGCAAAGCTTGCCGGTTTGTGGTGGCTGATTCGCTAGCTACTTACCAGCGAAGATGTCGCCTTTGGAAAGGTGTGGCAAGATGGAGACGAGCACAGAGCTGGCCAGAGGCTCCTTCATGTACCACATGAGATTAACGGAGAGGCACAGACAGAAGGGGCGACTTGTACTTTTTCTGGGCGGGCACAAAAGGCGTTCCGGTTTGTCATGGAAGGAGTAGAAGGGATTGACCTGGAATCCTAGACAGAATGTGACATTTGCACAAATAAGGGGACTCTAGATGTTGCTATATGGCCTGGTGACGACATGTCGCCAGACGAGGTTATGTTGGCAACTTGGGGTCACGCATAGTAGATGGTAGTCAATCATGATGCGTCTCATTCCCAAGTCCAGCACGGCCTGATTTAATACCGACATCCTCCCTGTCTTCCATGCAACTAATTCTCTCCCTCTCTCTGTAAGCTGATGACAGTGCTGGACTTTCTCGACCTTGAAAACTAAGAAAAAGTTCTATCTACTCATCCATATCAGGTATCTGACATGCCCTGTACACGTGGTTTCCTTCAGACCTTCAGAGGCGGGGGCGACTGCCGCTTCTTCTGCTTTGTGACCTCCTCACACCCCCCTCCATTACTATCATGCGCAGTAGCTGTTCGATGATGATGCCGTATTGTCGTTGTGTTTGTGTTTTTGGAATGTCCCGTCTGTCTTTGGCACTGGCACGAAGAGCAAAACTCCTGGCACCATGCCGCTTTTTCTTTGTTGCCGTCAAGATGCGTGCAGAAATAGGTCAACGCCAATGGTGCATGGTTCAGTGCGACAGACAGATGATCGGGCGCGGGCAGAGAAATTGTGCAAAGGGGATCTGGTTTAAGGAGGGGGGGGCCTGAACCGTTCATTTCCATGAAGTAGGGTCGACATCTGGTTGTGTAATGGCCCCCTATGCTGCAAATGCGTTCTCTCATTATGTTTGCCCCCTCTACCTTACCGTTTCCGCACCTCTGTCGCCCACCCATCAATGCCATCTCCCCGGCTGCCCACCTCTAGTCCGTTGATTCGGACGCCTTTCATGCCGGGAGTGTCGTCGAGCCACAAATGTCCTGCCATGCCACCAGCGTTGGCACGTTTCTCTGGGACAAGCTCAAGCATAGGAGTCAGGAAATCAGCAATGCGCTTTGCCTCGTCCTCCTTGAAGTGATATTTCTCGCGCAGGACATCTGGCAAGGCCCAGTGTCGCAAGCGATGAATGTTACGCAACTCGCCTTTGCGGTTGAAGATCTCTTGTGACCACTTGCCAGACAAACAGAGCGACTTGGGAAAAGGCCCCAGCAGCTCAATGATCTGCGCAATGTGGTCGTCATCCTTGCCGTACTTGGTTCCGGATTGGGGGTCGAATAGGTAGTCACCAGTAATCAACTCAAAAACCTAGAGGAGGGGATTCATTAGTTCTCAATGTCTTTGGAAGTAGCTGTTGGTCGTCGGAGGGCAAACGTACCATCGCCGCCATACTCCACACATCAGTACTTGCGCCCCATTTCGACCCAAGTATAACTTCCGGCGACCTGTACTGCCTAGTCTGGATATCGTTGGTAAAGTGATGGTTGGTCCAGCAGGCGTTACCTAGGTCCGCAATCTTGACGCTAATGATATCGAAAGCGTGGGCATCTTCGGCCTTGCGCTTCTCGCCGGAAGATGGTGAGCTGCTCGTCTTATCAAGGGAGATACCCGAAACTTCTTTCGTGAGGAGGTCGCTGCACAGACAAAAGGCGGTCAGTCTCAGGTATAGTCATCCACTATTTTGTGAGGTGGGGTATACATACGCCGTCTTTTCGCGCGTCTTCTGGTCAGCGTCGCGCTTGGGAGAAGAGTCATTGGATCCTTTGCCTGAGCATAGACTGTTAGCGCTTTTCCAAGCTGTGCGACCAAAACCATGCGCTACGAGGTCGTTGCATGCAGCGGCACCTTTGTGGGTGGCGCAACTCGCAGGGACACAAGTGGCGGGTGCTGGGGGAGGGAGAGGGACGTCGCATACCTTCGTGCAACATTTGACCGAGGCTCGTGTGAGAGTTCGTGGAGGGGAAGAGATTGTTGTGGTTGAAGCTGGCATTGAGGGGGGAGGGCAACGGCTGACTGCCCGTGATGAGAGTCCGTCTCCTCCTGCGGCCGTTTCTGTTGTTTTCCTTATCGCTAGGCTCGCTCTTGACGACCTTTTTGACGATTTGTTCGACGTCGCCAATCTCGATGAGGACATTCTCAGGCTTCAAATCGGTGTGAATGATGCCGCATTCGCGGTGGAGATAGTCGAGGCCGAGCAAAACTTGCTTTGTGATCTGCTTGACCAGGGGCATGGGGATGCCGCGGTGGTTCCATTTCTTAATAAGGCCCAACAGGTTCTCGCCCAACACCTCAAAAACCATGCAAACGTGTGTGCCGTTGGGGCCCTTGTGTTCGAAAGAGTCCAGGAGGCTGACTACATGTTTGCGGCCAGGGTGGTCGGGCTTGGCCTGGACAATCTTGTTGAGGAGTTTGATTTCGTCAATAGCGGTTTCGGTGTAGTGGGCGGCAGAGCGGACGACTTTGAGAGCGACGTGCTTTCCAGAGGTGTTGTCCCTGGACAGCCAGACGGTGGAAAAGTGACCCCATCCGAGCTTGCGCACCACTGTGTATTTGCCGTCCTTGAACTTTTCGCCAATCTGGACGGGGTGGTAGCCGCCCTTGCAGTAGTCCTCGGAATCTTCCTCGTCGGCCGTGTTCTCGGCGGGATCGTCGCCAGAAGAAGTCGAAGTTGGCGAGTTCTGCATAGCAGCAGACAATTGGTGGGTTCTGCGACAGAGAAGAAAAAGGTCAGCTTTGCTGTGGAGGCCATCGAGATATGTGCGGGCAGAGACAGCGCGGCGCGAAAAAAGGCGTCATCAGAATTGTGATCAAAATGGCGGGGGTGGAGAATAGCAGTGGCAGTGAGTGGTAGCAGCAGCAGCAACATCAGCAGCAGCAACGGGTGGGTGGCTTGGTGGGTGAAGATTTCGCGGTACCAGTCCAGAGCAACGAAGATGGACTCGAGCACCACGAAATGCGAAGACTTTGGAAGGGGGCTTGGGGGCTAGAAACCTTGTCTTGAGGAAGCTCATGTTTGCAACATTGCGCATCCAGCGCGAACAATCCTATAGTCAAGAAAAAAGAAGACAGAACGGGCGGAGGACCGGGCAGCGGGCGGGAATCAAAACAAGAATGAAGGGGAAAATATCAAAAAAGAGTGCGGATCCAGTGCGAAACTGGCGCCGCTCACAACATGGGAAAGTAGTGACAGCGGCAAGTCCAGTCAGGTCGTGACCGACTGGGGTGGGTAAAGGTTGAATGGGAGGGGAGGGGAAGCGAAGGAGGGGGGGAGTGATTTTGGGCGAGGGACGTGGAGGTAGAGGGACGGGAGAGGAAGAGGCGAGCGAGGCGAGGCGAGGCGCGGGAACAATCAGCCAGGCGGTAGGCGTGCACTAGTAAAGGTAGGTAAAGGGTAGGTAGGTAGGTAGGTAAGGAAGGGCAGGTTAAAAAACTGCCTACGACGTGGAGGTGGAGGAGGAAGGGCGGAAGGTTGAGGCAGGTAGGTTAGGTAGGTAGGTAGGTAGGTAGGTAGGTAGGTAATGGTACGGATAGGTAGCAGAAAGAGGCACGTAATACGGAAGGAAGTAATAAAAGCAGACGGGAGAGGGTAGGTGTGGAAGGTCGCAACATGCAGAGCAGAACGGGCAGCAAAGCAGGGCAGGTAGCGCGAGAGGGGTCAGTGATGCGCGCAACGGGGGGGCGCAGAGAGCGGCTGCTCAGTGGTCTGGCGACGCAAAAGTCTGGGCCACCTTGGCCAGGGTCGTCGGGTCGGATCAGGACCAGTGGGGAGGGTGACGGTGAGCACTCGCTCCCAGCCCAGCCTGCCCAGCCCAGCCTGCCCAGCCCAGCCAGTCAGTCAGTCCCGCTCTGTTCTGTGCTGTTCTGTCCACTGTCCAGTCCAACTCAGTCCAGTCGCGATATGTCTGAAAACTATCCAGCCCCTCTGTTGTATCTCTGTCTGTCCCCAGATGCCGTGGGTGCAGATTGTCAGTGTGCATGCAGCAAACCAGCTGTGAGTGATGAGCGTAGCAGTCCAGTCCAGTCCAGTCCAGTTCAGTTCAGTCCAGTCCAGTCCAGTCAGATCCAGTCAGGTCAGCACTTCTTTTTTTTTTTCCTCCTCCGCCTCTTCTCCCGTCCATCACCCCAGACCCTCACGTTGCTGGCCTCTCATCATGGGTATCTGTCGCACCGGCGGAGCAACGCAGCGCGGCGCGGCGCGGCGCGGCGCAGACCACATCAACAAGACAGGTAGATGCACCTCACCGCGCTGCCGCTGCGCATCATCAGCCCTGGCAGAGTGTCGCGGTGGCGGCAACAGCTGGCGACCCGTAATACCGCTGGGTGAGCGGCCGTCTCCCACCCTGTGCGGTCCCTCTCTTGCCTCTGCCCGACCTGATGTTTTGCGCGCCAAACAAGGCTTCGATCTCCTCCAATGGCCGGACCTGTGTGCAACCGCAGCGCATGCGCCCAATCCAGTGACAGATCCCCATCGGGTATCTGTTCCGCTGGGGCCCTGCTGTCTGTTCCTCACTCTTCTTCTTCTGTTCTGCTTGTTCGCTGCCGTAGCGTCTTCCAGCGCCATCTTGTTTCCTGCTTGATGCATGCTTCCCAGATGTCCGGAAGTGAGACAATCTGCGCGGCGCGGTCCTGGGCAGAGAGCACTGACTGCTGATGCCGCTGCTCCTTGTGCCGATTGGGACTGGACTGAACTGAACTGGCTGCACTCGACTGCACTCGACGACTCAAACTGGTCTGGTCTGGCTGGAGGAGCCCCCCATCATCCATCCATCCAACTGGCCCGCCGTACTCCGCCCCGCAGCGACGCGCAGGGAAGGACGTGCGGCATCGGGCACAGTTTTAGACAGGATAGAGGGGTAACAACTTGGCAGGCGGAGTGAAGTAAGGCAAGGAAAGGCAGGGTAATGTCCTGTGTAAATGAAGCTCGGGACGCCAGATGGCGTGTATTGAGATGATGACAACCAACAATCTCGACGGTACCCACCCGCCAAATAAAGGAAATCAAACAACACGGAAGCTTCTGGGTCGCTGCAAATAAAAGAAATCGAAAAAAAAATTATGAGGAAACCATAAACACACTTACTGAGGAGTTTCGGTGGTGATGATGGGCTTCAAGCCCTCCTTCTTGCGCTTCTTGGCGACCGTCGAGCTGCCATTGGCATTCGCGCTGGCATTCGCACTGGCATTGGCGTTGACGTTGGCAGCCGCGGGCTGCAGAGGCTGTTGCGCAAGCGGCTCCGAAGCTTGTTGGGTGCCGTTCATGATGGGCAGTGGAATGTGCGATGCGGTATGTAAAGTATCGTGCAGGAGGGTGAGTGTGGGGGACAGACAGAATGGGGGTCACGGCCGACCGTTCCAGATGGGCGAGGCGAGGTCAGGAGAGCGCACCGCCGGTGTCCTTGGATTGGCGATGTTCCGTCTGTGGTGACCAGCCCAAGCTTGATACCCGATTGTAGCGCAGCGCGGACGGGCGGCTGTGCGTGCGTGCGTGTGTCAATTGTCGGCCTCGTCCAAAGCAATCGGTCTTGCAGCCCGCAGGGGCTTGTCTGGTTCGGAGTGGTATCGCGGGATTTTCAAAGTCGTACAGGTGGTCGCGCGTTCGGGCGGCTGGCGCAGAGGAAGAGATTCGTTGAAAGCAGAGGCGGCAGAGGTCAATCGAGGACGTGAGATGGCAGGCGAAGCGGCAGTCGGAAGTGCGTGAAGGAAAAGATGGCGAGGTGGAGCTCTTGTCAGAGGAGATGTGAAGGCGGGTGCGGGAGGAGAGAGCGAGGGCGAAGTCAATGGCGAATGAAGCTGGCGATGGAAGCGTGGCGACCGGATCCACGGAGCTGCGAAAGAAGTGTATCACCGGATTGGCGCGGCCAGTCAGCAGCAGATAAGTCAGCGGGTGGGATTCATCAGATGTGCTCCGATATGATGCGAGACGACGCGCGATGCGGCGGGGGCCAAGAAGACGACGGCGACGAAGGCTGGGGCGAGGACAGCACTGAGCAACGAGCGAACAGGTTGCCTGTGTGGTGGTTTCTGGGCGCGCGGTGTTGGAGGTGTTGGAGATGTTTACTTGCGACCAGGTGGCCAAGACCGATGGAAGTTGCGTCAAGTAAGGTAGGGTCAGGTAGGAGGAGGTAGGTGTCAAGGCAAGGTAAGGTAAGGTAGGCAGGGTACCTTAAGGTGGGATGGGTTTGGGAAGGTCAGGTACCTCAGCAACACGCAAAGCAAGAGAAAACGGAAGACAAACGTGCCTAAGTGGCTGGCTGCTGGGAAAAGCGCAGAGCAAAGCAAGCAACAAGTTCGGATGTTTTCTTCTTCTTCTTCTTCTTCTTCTTCTTCTTCTTCTTCTTCTTCTTCTTCTTCTTCTTCTTCTTCTTCTTCCCTTCTCCTTGGGTAGGAAGGAGGGGTGTATGCGTACCCATGGAGCGATGATACCAAGCAGTGCCTGTCTCGTTCTCCAGGAGGACGTCATTGATGGAAGCTGGCTCGAGGTTGGGTAGGTAAGGTACCTAGTGTGTCAGTCAATAGTGGGGGTGGAGGACGGGGGTGCAAGACGGAAGAGGCCAGTAGAGATGCGCCAACGGCAGAACAAGCACCACCACGACTCAAGAGGGCCGAGGAAGCAGGTGTTCAAACGTAATTGATGGAGCAAAGCAAAACGCACGCATCGTGGACGTGGAATCCTTACGGGTGAAGCTATCCATCGCATCCAACATTTGCTTGAGACGAGAGCACCCATGTTTGACACCGGGTTCACTCAGCGTCCTTGGTGCGCATCCGGGAGTTGCGAGCCACGATTCAGCCAAGTGCCTCCAAGTCGGCGGGACGAGACTGCGATTAGATAACACAGGCGAAGTGGATAGGTCGAGATGGACCAAGCCGCAGCGCTAGCCACATCCAGCGGTATCCTGTTTGAAAGGTGCTGAGTGACACGTGCGAATACCCTCTATTGCGCAAACGGTATGGACACTAATAATCCTCTGTCAACCTCCACTGACCAAGAAAGTACCTAGGTATCCAGCACGATTGATGGCGGCATATCCTATCAGAGCTTCACCGACGCACGCCATCACATCGCACATCGTCACTAGCGACCGGGTATTCAGTGGGGAGGAGCAGGGTTTGTCCCCTGAACCACAAGGCAACGGCCGCTGAGCGTCTGCTGTTGCTGAGGTGAAGACGAGATGGGAGCCCTGCCCGACGACCGTCGAGACCCTTGACCTCACGGGGACGGCTTGACGCAACCGGGCAGGGCCTCAGCTGCGTCCCGGCAACTCTCATCTTTCTCACTCGATTCGCCCATCCTTAACCTCAGCTGCTTGCTGCCCCTGGATCTTCTTTTACCAGCTCTGTCGTTTGCGGAACTCAAAAGCGCTGCCGATGTACACTACATATCTACCATATTTAGAGTAGACTCTCAGGCACGGCTAAGGATATAGCTTTGTTGGTCTCATCTTATTGGACGGAGATGAACGAGTTGCAACAGGCTATCCCATGTTCCGCCACCCATCCATCGCGACTCGACAACTTCTGCAACAGACATTTTCCCTGGATCTAGCCACCAACTTACCCGCGCCCTTGGGTCCGAAAACTTTTGCTTCACGTACACCGCCTTGCCCGCAGCACGCAACGTGAGACCCCCGACACCCGAGAGCATCCGTCAACAGAACTCCGGCTTTCTTTGACCTTTCATCTGATAAGCAAGAGCCCTATTGGTCCGCCCCGCCAGCCACAGGGCTAGTCGAGGTGATGGCTCAGGTACATCACCTGATTGGGTTTTCTTGTTTCTCCTTGGCGCTCCTCGCGGGACGCAATCCCAGGCCACGGCGTCAGGCACACAGAGACAGACCGGACCATTCCATCCATGTGAGCAGGTCCCGCTTGTCACCTGCCATCTATCATTATCGAGCTTCGTGCCCAAATAATTGTTCAGTGTGAATGCAGTCCGGTCCAGTGCCCGTGATTTCCCGGATTCAATTGCAATTGACAACGTCCCTATTTTGGTACCCCCCTCATTGCCGGCGACGAGGCCGCGTACTGCCCTCGCAAGGGAAGCTGCAGGGCTGTCGCAGGCGGCGTCGGAGAGGGAAGCCTGCGTTGCCGTTACCATGGTCTTGGCAGTTTGGCCAACGACCAGCTTCTTCCGTGACCAGAAGAATGGCATTCGATACGCAACAACCGATTTCCACTGAGAACTCCGTGTTTCGTGAGTCGGGATGAGCCTGCTTCGGCGCAGGAGCCGGCTTTCAATGTCTCATCTTCTGCCGGACCTTGAATACTTATCCAAATAGCCTCTTTCATTCGGATCCATTGAGGCAGATTGTCAGCAACCACGGTCATCAGAAAAAACAAAGGCAGTTACCCTTTGAACGTAAACAATGCCCGCCTCGGGACCGCCTACAATTCCTTGTTCCCTCGAGCCATCTTCCTTCAATTTTTATCACCGTCGACTGCTTCGCTCGTTGACAAGCATTGTCTCTTGTCGGCTTCCACTTTGTGATGAGCCTCATCTTCGGAATCAAGAAACCTCCTTTGTCATACTTTGACAATAAGAGCTATCAAAGCCATTGTGCTTTTGCGACCTCGATCGCGGATTCCGAGTGAAATGCTCTATATATATGGGAGTTGAGGGGGGAATCATGGATACCCGAGCAGCAGCTAACAACGCGCACTCACTTCTCTAGTTGCATGATCATCGTTATCACCCTCTTCCTCTCAGGCTAGCTTTTTCGACATCGCAGAAATCGCCGTCTATAACCTAGTTGGAATATGCCGCATTTCTCTTCCACAACCCTTCAGCTGGCCTCCATTTTGCCGAGTCACGTCAAAGATGAGTACGCCATCAGGCTCACGAACTCGGCACTTCAAGAGAAGCACCTCGACCCAAGATGGCGATACGATGGGCATGTTATCGGCAACCAGAACTATTTAGAGGTTGCCTTCGCCACAAAGCCACGTAGGCGGACGACTTGGCCCAGCGACTACTGGTTCAAGCCCATCCACCCACTCCAAGACCCTCTTACGATCTCTTCAGCAATTCATACTGACTTGGCTCGCCTAGCCGAAAGACACAACATCGTTGCCAACGAGATCCACAGCTTCATGCGCTTCCCTCTCGTCAGAGCAGTCATACGCACTTTTCTCATTGAGCTTGAGAGACCCGAAGCTCAATACGGCCCGCAGCCAGACGACGAAGACATTGTGGGTCGACTCGAGGGGATCTTGTTGAGCACGACGCTGTCGGACCGCCAAGCTCTGTTGACCCAAACCACCGCGGTTGGGCCAGGTTTTGCGGACAGAGCGCTGTTGTTGTGCTTGATTAAGTTGTATGCTCACTTTGAGTCTTGGAACAGCTGGAAGTTCGGGTCTAGCGGGAATAGACCTACGCTGCGAATCCTCGTTGCCGTCGTTGGCCTTTTCTGCAACGCCTGGGTTCACGCGCCCATAATCGACATTACCTGGGGCCACCTTCGCAGGTCTCTGTCCCCGCCTTCTCTGTATGGTCATGTCATCGACCACAGCGAGCCTTTACCTAGCACCATTCTGACCCCTGAGATATGGATGGAGTGGTCCCTCATGTACGATCCCTGGATCAGACAAGCAGACTCAGTACAACTGACGATGCCCGAAGACGTAAGGTTGTCCTCAAAGCTCCCTTTAGCGCCCCCAGTCTTTGTCGCGGAGGTCACCGAGCCAGAAGCCGACAAGGAGGGGCGTGTCACGGTGAAGTATCTCAGTAAACCTGACGAGGAACGATGGTCATTTAAAAGCATACTCGATTCCAGGTGGGCGGGCAAGAAACCGAGGACGGGGCTACAATATCTGGTCGAATGGGAATACGCCGAGCCCTCGTGGCAACCGGCGAGAGATTTGCAAGGCTGCGAGCCGTGGGTCTTGCAGTTCCACCGGTCGAGTCCGAAGAAGCCTGGGCCTGTGCCCAAGTTGAAGCGTTTTCTTTGAGGCCCCTGATGTGCTTTGGGGGGTTCAAAGAGTCAATGGTTCTTTTCAGGGCTTGGGAAACTTTGACGTAGAGGCTTGGATCCAACAAAGAGGGCCAGCAAGGTGCTGCTGGGAGGGATGTCACGCTACACTCGGGAGATATGTAGAATAAGTCGGATGCTATTGCTTGTAGGTAATTTCAGGCGAGTTGTCACTCATCCTTCAACTCTGATGGTCGAATTCCAAAGAAAGAAGAGACCGCCTAATTTTCCCGGGCTAGAGTGGCTACTTCTCCTGTGGTTACACACTTTACCTTACTGCCTTCGTTATCGTCGTTGTCTCGCTACTATCGTCGTCTTCGATAAGAGTAGTTCAGTAGACAGGAAAAGTAGCCACTCTAGCACGGGAAAATTAGGCGGTCTCGGGAAGAAATACAGGCCTCTCCAAAGATCATTGTGGTTCAGTGCGGAAGGCTTTACTTTCAGTCTCACGACCTTAGTGATGAATGTGGTATTGTATCAACGGTATCACATTTCAGTAGAAGAAAGCAAGTAAGACAAGATGGGGTTTGTCAGTGCAAATGTAGCCGAAAACATGTACAGGAAGGATACTTATGGCAGGACTCGTAAGCCCTTGCTCAACGATGCGCTTCCGTAAGTCCTGAGTTGTCGTGGTCGCGATGGTGTATTGGTTTGCTACTTGTCCTTACTTTGGCCCGACCGGTATCCTGCTATCTTATTGTGTTCGCATGCTGCTAGATAGGCTACTCCGAAGTGTCAAGTAGTCGTAATAGTCCAAAATCTACCAACACTGATAGCACTAGCCACATAAGCAATGCTATGAGTTGGATCAGCCGCCCATGTCCGGCCAACGATTATCGAGTTCGTCCTCTTCGGAATGCCTGGCCCAGTTATTAAGGTCTGCTTAGTACTCCGAGGCTATGGTCTGAGTCAAAATAGGCTGGCTAAGAATGTTGGGCCGGCCCGTGTGCATCACATTGCATCGGAATCTATGGGTCTCTCCGGCAGGGCTCGGCATCGGCGCCGGAGCTAATTCAACTTGACATTCCAGGCGCTGACAGCGGGAAGATTCATTTCTAGCTCCTTCGTAGTAGTTGCCGGCTCACTCCTTTCCCGCCACGCGGGGATTTGTCAAAGCGTCCATTCCAGCCCTGCGGCAAGCACGTAGGAGGTCATTCTTACGCTAAGACGGAGCTTCTGAACGGCCTACCTGAGCTGACGGCAGAGCCAGACACGATGGCACGGCTCGTCAAATGACGTGGCAGGGCCTTGTGACTTTGGCCCGAGGACCGATTACTGGATGGTGGTTCCTTGGGTTTGTGCCTATCAACGGCTGGGTGCATCCATTCGAACATGTCATGGCGATGCCACAGAGCGCGAAAGGTCAGTCTTAGTGTGATGATGTCATGTCTTATCTCGACAGCCGCTCAATGGGATTGCGACTTTTATGGACGCCGTAAAGAAGACGACTTGAGAACGTCTCTTCCGGCTTACCCCGCGCCGAAAGAGCCGGCGGGCTACGTGTACGTGGTTAGGGGGCCAGGACAGAGATTACTCAATCCCTACGGTTAGCTGCCGAACCAGCAGCAGCAGCTTTGACCTCAAAGTAGGCAGACGGGAGGCCGGGACGTGCAGCGAGCGAGCGAGGGGGCGCATGGAACAACACAGAACACATGGAGGCGCCGTCTGCCCGTGGACAAATAGCAAGTCAACCAGCCATCTCCGCATTCTAATCCACGCGCGATATCCGAACGTTGCGGAAATGGCAGGGGGAATCTGAACGTGTGGGAGGTTATTGACGGGATGTTGCATTAATACCGTGTAGATATAGTGGGGGGCCGCCCTGAAAGCCTCGGCCAAACCGGAGCTGGACGAAGCTACCTAGGCTAAAAGGTGGAAAGGAAAGGCTTGTACCGACGGAAGTCCCCTCCACAGCGAGTGGAGGAAGTCCCTAGCAGGTATCGACCTAGCCACTTGCCAAGATAGGAAAGAGTGCACCATGCCGATTGGCGAGCACAACAACGCGAGAGCCAAGAGACGTTACCACGAAATGCTCAAAGTCGCCAAAATGAGGGAGGAGACGTCTCGCTTTATCACGCGTAATTAATGTCTACGAGATCAAGTCTAGATCTCATCATCGCTGACGACATACCCTTTGCAGTGCTCTTGTGTGAGCGCCGACGCTTCCCGAGAAGTTGGGCATGCCGTTAGAGATGCCGCCCCGGATACCGCCGCAGTGGTTCGTCTTGGTCTGCAGACAGCAAGGAGAGCCTCAAGCTTATCAAAGCAGGATACAAAAGCAACCATCTCGATGCCGTAGGTCTCGCGCAGCCGCTTCTCGGCAACAGCGCCGGCGACGACGCGGGCAATCGTCTCGCGGCGGCTGCTTCGGCCGCCCCCAGAGGAGGCCTCAGTACCATACTTCTCAAGGTAAGTCCAGTCGGCGTGGGAGGGGCAAAAAAAAAGGTTATCGTCTTCGAGCCATAGTCGATAGGGCGTTGATTCTCGTTAGGCACGGTCAGAAGTATGGGTTTGCCCAATCTGCGACTCTAGGTTACCCGCATCATGGCAAACATTATGACTTCCTGTAGGAGTGTCACACATGCGCCCGAATTCGCATCCAGATCCTTTAGTCGCGCGGTCCCTTTCGTCGCGCGGGGTGGTTGGCCGACTGGCACGGGCGCCGGCGCTTGAGCTGCGGCTGGATATCGGACTCGGAGAGAGACAGCCCCGGCGGGCCGTTCTCGATGATACAAGAGACGGTCTTGCCGTGGGACTCGCCGGCGCTGTGACCATGGAGCAGTATGCTGTTGTCTTGCGTTCCTAGCAGTTTAGTGGGGGAAGAGGACTCACATCGTCCCGAGAATGTAGTGGCCAAATGTCGAGATGATCTGTTCTGTACGCCCACTGGGTGAATTGACTGGCGGAAGAGAGGTTAGAGAGGGAGCAATGTAGCGATGTCGTGGAGATAGTTCTTATCGGTGACTAGGTAACTTGACAATCGGAGGCAGTACGTACCCCATCTGTTAGGTGGGCACCACCAGCAACCCACACTACCTACCTTGAAGCTTCCGAAGGATATACTCAAGGGAAGTCTGGGAGAATTCGGAAAATATTCCAAGACTTGGAGGAACTCCCAGGAAAATCCGAAGATGCTCTGAGACGTAGGCCAGGAATCGAGCACCTGGATGAGGACGCCAGGACCTGGGCGGACTGCCCCCTATCCCCTTCCCAGGGAGTGGTGTCCATCATGTCCAGAGTCGCGTAAAGTTGAACAACGTTCGAGCAATAGTTAGGTTAGCTGTTAGCCACGGGTAGATGTGACATAGCACTGTATCGGCCTGAGCATAGGTGATGCGACTCCAAGCTAGGGCGGCGATGCGTAATTAACCAACCGCCTATTGATCGCGGTCGCTGTGTGTTCGTGGCAGACTACCGAGGTAAGGTCCATAGCTGGGTAAGATAGGTGAGTTCCAGTTTCAATCGGTCATGAGGGGTTCCCACTAAAATAACGCCGCATCCCATCCCCCCGCGGCCAAAAATGCACCCTCCTCGATGACCTCCAGCTCCCCTCAACTCCGAAGCGAACTGACGGCGCAAGGCGAACCCTGCGGCTACACCAACTCCATCAACCGTCGCGCACTGTCCCCATCCGTCCTCCGCATCTCGCGAACCACGCCATCTTACTCTTGGACCCCCAATTCATGAGTTGCACCGTCCCAAGCCACTTCCGTCCGCCCTCTTCCGCGCGCCCGACGACACACTCATAAAGACCGAGCATGTGCCCCGCGCCCGATCATGGAACCTCAGCCATAGAGGATCCCCGACCCGACGACCACCACAACGACGACCCTCCCGCGACTGACACAGAGCCAGCTATTCATCCCGGCGCAGACGTCCGGACCAGAGCCCGGACCATGACGAGCACCGAAGAGATTGACAATACCATCATCCGCCCGGGCTCCGTCCGCATCAACGTCAAGGGCGCTTTCATCGTCGACCCGGACTCAAGTTCTCCGAGAAGCAATGGCCGAGGTTCTCCGACCCACCACGAGACGAGCGATATTCGCCTGCCGAACCACCATGCCGTCGTCAGCCATATCGCCGTAGATGTATGCGCCCTGTCGCTCCCGTTACCTGCTTTGAGTCTCTCTTTCCACTTGCTGATCTTATCGTCGTCCCCCAGATCGGCGGTTCCCTAATCAAGCTCGTCTACTTCACCCGTGAGGCCGGCTCCAAGGAGCCTGGCGGGCGCCTCAACTTCCTCAACTTCGAAACGGATCGCATAGACGACTGCATCGAGTTCATGCGCCACCTGAAGGACAAGCAGCAAACACTCAATGGCTCCCAACCAAACGCGCTGAGCGTCATGGCGACGGGCGGCGGCGCATTCAAGTTCTATGATAAAATGCGCGACGTCCTGGGCGTGGATGTCTTGCGCGAAGAGGAGATGGAGTGCCTCATTATCGGTAAGCCTACACCTCCAATCGCATTCCCCGGCGAATAATCAAGCTGACCAGCGGCGTGCGCTACGTAGGTCTCGATTTCTTCATTACCGAAATTCCCAGGGAGGTCTTTACCTACAGCGAAACCGATCCCATGCACTTCGTCTCGCCCTCAGAAAATATATACCCTTATCTCCTTGTTAACATTGGATCTGGCGTCTCGATGCTCAAGGTCTCAGGCCCTAACGAGTACCAACGTGTCGGCGGAACATCACTTGGTGGCGGAACGCTTTGGGGCCTCCTGTCCCTTCTCACAGGTGCCCGTACCTTTGACGAGATGCTGGACGCGTCGGAACAGGGGGACAACGCCAAAGTGGACATGCTTGTTGGCGACATCTACGGTGGCGACTACGGAAAGATTGGCCTCAAGAGCACGACCATCGCGTCCTCTTTTGGCAAGGTCTTCCGCATGAAGCGTACTGCCGAGACCGAGGCTGAAGACCACGGCGGCCTTCATAACGGTGACAACAAAAACCGCGGTTCCCCATCCACACAACCTGAGGAGGGCTCGACAGAAGAGAGCCATCATGCTGCTGGAGAGAACGCTTCGGACCAACCCTTCTCCAGTGCAGATGTTTCAAGATCACTATTGTATGCCATTTCCAACAATATTGGTCAAATCGCCTTCCTTCAGTCACAAATCCATAACCTCGACCACATTTACTTTGGCGGTTCTTTCATCCGCGGTCACCGTCAAACAATCAATACTCTCAGTTACGCCATCAAGTTCTGGTCTCAAGGCAAGAAGCAAGCGTATTTTCTTCGTCACGAAGGCTATCTTGGCTCCGTCGGTGCATTCCTCAAGCGCCAGCCCCGGAACTGGGGCCGCCGTGGATCGTTTGAAGAAGCGCAACACCTCGAGCGGCGTCTTCGTGGTCGAGTAGCGCTGCATGACCCGGAGATGCAAAGCTTGGTGGACGACTATGCCTCGGAATCAGGGAGAGACTGAAATAGCAATACCCGGGTAGGAGAAAGAGAGAAGAACAGAAACGGACAACCAGTAGAGGCGGTCATTTGGTGCATAGGGCGTTGTGGCGGCATATTCTGGCATTTACAGTCCTCAGCGAGGGGCCATTTGCGAAAAGATGTGAGCGACATCGGGTACGAGACGCTTAGGTGTTGGATTACACCCATGCCATCCATTACTTTACACAAGTATTCACCAGTTTAATGTTATCGTACGCGGCATGGGCTGCTCAAGCGGCCAATATCACGCGCATAGTTTATACATTTACCATTGTAACCGTTGTCAGCCACGGCCTAGTGTGATTCAACGGCATCTTCCAGTTGTACTAAGTCAACTACATTCGTCTACAGGCCCTTCGCTAGAAGATCGGCCATGCCTCTGTTCTCTTTTACAGATATTCTCCTGATTATAACAGGGTAAGTATGAAGCGATTGTCCTGACAATGAAGTTTTTTCTCAAGTGGCTGGTGACAGAGGTCGACCTAGCTGTCCAGAATAACCAGCTTTCCTTCATTTGTCTTGTTGGACCGCATCTCTTTGAAACAAAGCACTGAAGCTTGTTACACATCTGTCGGTAGAATTCGAATGCACGAACCGAATCTCCGCCGAGAGAATGTTGCAATTGACTTTTTCGGGGTTTTTGATAGGAGTAGGGGCCAGTCGCGAGGTTTCGTGCCTCAGACAGTGCTGATTTGTTTTTGGCGCAGCAGGCACAGGAGATAGACTCGATGAACCCGAGAAATCGTCTCTTCATGGCTGCGGGTTCTTATTCGCATTTCATTAGAAGTCACACGCGCGACCTTGGATCTTGTCTGCTGGGTTTCGTGCGTAGATGTCATAGATAGTAGCCTCGTTGATGTCCAAATTTTTAGACGGCGGAGTGCGGACGAGATGGATACTAGCATTTCTAAAGAGAGGTATCCTATATTGGAAGCAGAAGCAGCAGCACCGAGCCGGCTGAGGCCCATCTCACAACTCCGCCTATCTCTCCTGTGTCTACGCAGCTATATTCTCTGTCTACTTCACAATGGGTATACTATCATGATGAAGGACAATGGCAGGCAGAGGCATATTAGGCAGTCTCCATCACGCCATCCATCACTGAAGTTTTCACAATCTTGCTAGCCTCAAGGTGACGTGGAGAAGAAACAGCAATTCTCTGCTTCTCTTCTATTTAGTCCGAGGCTGTTCGTGTCTGTTGAACTTTGTTGCCTTCGAAGTGGTTAACTGATCACTCAATCTACTTCTTGAGTATTGTCACACGCTTGCAAACCGTTGGCAGCAATCGATGTACTACGGAACACAGGAAACAATTATGTTTCCCCACAGTTCATTAGACCCCAAACGTCTCGAGGTATCATTCGGATTCAAAGTTGATAAGGCTGGCAGCCACTACCGTTTGCTTCGCGGTCTCCTGAAAGCAGCATGGCATGCGGTAAAGTCACCCCTCCCCGGACTCTGTCTGGGGATACGAATATCACGATGGGCAAGGCTAGCAGAGGATGCCGCGGCCGCGTATTCGACGCCAGATCAGCTCCATCACCAACGCGGATCTCAACGAGACGGTTCCAACCCAGATTACATCCGTATTTATTTAACCCGGTTACTCCACGCCATACATCCATTCTGCAGCCTTGTATGAAGATCGCCGACAGGACCTTTGGCGCAAGGGGTCTACCAAAGGTTTAACTCGGTATCGGTCCCCTCTTCTCTGAGCAAATCTGAACAAACCTAGACGCGAACAGCGAAGTACCCAAGACTGAATGTCGGCGTCTCCATGATTCCCGCCAAGGGGAACATCTTTGCATACGTCGCCGTGTGTCTATCGTCAAGAGCCCTGTGGTTGCCAAGAATTTCTTGAGTTCAGACGACGCATCGTATGAAAAGCTTGAGAAACTATAGTTATTTACTTTATATACCCTCATTGAGCGCCGTCGCAAGCGGTTAACTTGCAGTTGCTGCTCATTGCTGCATTCGTATCGATGGAGATTGATCCGTCACAAGCACACCGTCGTCAGGCCGCGGGACACCCGAGCAAGCCAAACCTTGATCGGAAGGGAACCACCATGTAATAGAGTCCGACTTCGTGGAGTTTGTTTGATTGACGCAACTGACCGACTGCCGCAACGAACGGCATCCTCCACCCGAGACACTGCACAGAGATAGAGAGATGAAAAGGAAGAACAAACGGCGAGACAGCAATCACCGAGTGAATAAGGCTGCGCTCCTTATCCGTATCGATATCAATAGTGTTAATGAAGACAGCCCAGAAGGATTCGCACCACAGCCCAGAAGGTGGTCTGTTCGCAACCATGGGCTCACTCCCCTCCATGACAGCCGGTATGAGCGTGTCCCCATCCTTTGCCGATCTCCAACGCCGCGTCCCGAGCCCGGCCCAAGCTTCTTTATTTCGCCGCCGCGCGTTCTCAAATTTCCATTTCTGGCGTCGTATTTCTGAATTGGGGGTTGAATGGATTGGCGGGGTGGGAAAAGGGGAGGTGAGGTGGCATCCAGAGGAAAACCTAACAACCATCGCTCTTCTTGGAAGATCGGCCAGCCTCAGCCGACGCGGCAAGTGGGATGCATAGAGAAGGCTCATTTCCGGGCATGTTGCAACTACAACATCACATGACTCGGACTATTTGCAGGGAAAACGTTAGGAGAATGGCACACAAGCGTTCACAAACATGTCACTTGGATACCAAGGCGAAAGAAGATTCAGTAGAGCGCGTTTTTATTACTATTAACACTTCAACCAGCCAGGGTATAACTCTGAAGTCCAACTCCTCCCGCTGCCTCCTTTTGATCGCTATCAAAAAGAAAAAGGAAAGAAAAATACAGGAGAGGGCCAGAGATGCAGAAGACTGTGTTATGTGACACGTATTCCCCTTCTGATGCGCTCTGTTTTGCGGCCAAGTGTGATAAAATATGGTTGTGTGTCCAAGCCAGACCACCAACCCATGCAAGTGTTTCGTTCGTAAGGATCGTAAGAATGGTATGTATGATTGCGGATTGTAGATTACAGATTTGCGTGCAGCGACATTGAGACAGTAAGGAAATGGAATCTTTTGGGTTTCGAGCTTTCCTCCGCTAAAGAATCACCTTTTGCTGAGAGGGAAAGAAGCTGTTACCCTGCTTAAAAAGCAGCGAGGACAGCGGCGGCAACAACGGCACCAAGGCCGAAGCTGGCCTTGCCAGCACCAGCAACGACGACGCCGGTGGTGGTAGGGACAACAGCGCCGGTGCCAGCAGGAGTGGTCTTGCTGGCGCCAGCGGCAGGGGTGGTGGGGTAGGGAGCCTCAGCACCAGGGGCCTGGGTAGAGACGGTGGCAGCAGGGTTGCTGGCGGCGGGGGTGGAGGGAGCAGGGACAGGAACGACCTGGGAGGCAGAGTCCGTGGCGAAAGAGACGGCAGGGGCAGTAAGGGTGGTCTTGATGGTGGCAGTGGTGGAGGAGCCAGGGACGGTGGTGCCCTCAGTGACGCAGGGAACGACGATGGTCTTGTCAACGGTGATGGTGGTGTACTCGGCGGGGTTGGTAGCAGCGGGCTTGGTGGCCGAGACAGTGATGGCGGTGGTGATGGTGGCAGGGACGGTGACAATGGCGGGGTTCTCGGGGATGTGGGCGGCGCAGATACCCTGGAAGAACTCGGTGGCCTTGGAGATGACGTCGTCGCTGGCACCGTGGGAGTAGATGCAGTTGAAGACGTTCTCGACGAAGGCAGAGTCGGGGCAGTAGCAAGAGGCGTCGGAGTTGTCCTTGCAGCCGGAAGAGAACAGCCAGGTGCTCAAGCACTGAGGAACGACATCGGGGCAAGGCAGGGTCTCAACCGGGCCAGCGGGGATGGTCGCAGAGGGCTTGGTGACGGAAGAGGCAACAGGCTTCTCGGAAGAGGCACCCTTGGAAGGCTGCTCGACGGGCTTGGAGGCACCGGGAGTGTGGACGATGGTCTCGGTGACGGGGCAGACGGTGGTCGTGAGGGGAACGGTGGCGGTGACAACGATGGGAGTGCGAGACTCGGCGGGGCAGTTGGTGACCTCGGGAGCGCAAGAGGTGACGGTCTCAACACGGGTGGTGTAGACGGTGGAGGTGGTGTCGTAGACAGTGGTCTTGGTCTCAGGGACAGCAGGAGTGGTAACAGACTCGACGGGCTTGGAGACACCAGGCTGAGTGGCGGGGACAGTCTCGGCGGGCTGAGTGCCGTTGGCGGGGACGGAGGCAGAAGGCAGCTGAGCAGAGGTGGTCTGCTCAACGGGCTTGGTGACAGACTCAACAGGCTTGGAGACAGACTCGACGGGCTTGGAGACAGACTCGACGGGCTTGGAGACAGACTCAACGGGCTTGGACTCGGAGGGCTGGCTGGCGGAAGGAAGCTGGGCTGAGGTGGTCTCGCCGACGGGCTTGGTGACAGACTCGACGGGCTTGGAGACGGACTCGGCAGGCTTGGTGACGGAGGGAACAACAGCAGTGCTCGTCTCGGCCGGGATGGAAACGGAAGGAAGCTGGGCGGAGGTGGTCTCCTTGACGCCAGTGGAGTGAGCGGGCTTGGTGCTCTTCTCAACCTCGGGGACGGAGGTGGTGAGGACGGGCTTGGTGAGAGCAGTGCTCAGAGTAGTAGCGGAAGACAGGACAGCACTGGTCTTGGTCTTGGGAGGGACGGAGGTCTTGGGAGGGCTGCAGTCGAAGCTGATGGTGTGGATGCCGACGCCGCAAGTGGACTTGGGCTTGGAAGGCTGAGAGGGGTAGACGATGGTGACGTTCTTGGCACCACCGCACTGGGTGTTCTTGACGGTGGTTCCGGACTTGGAGCAGGCAGAGCGGTGCTTGCAGGTAGAGCCGTCAGGCATGTCGTAGTGGAACTCGAGGTCGCAGTCGAACTCGACGCTCACATCGAAGTGGCCAATGGAGAACTTGTCGGGGGAGCCGGAGCCAGAGCCGCAGCCGAAAGAGGGAGAGGTCTCCTTCTTCTGACCGCAAGAGCCCTCAATGACCTTGCCGCCGAAGGTGCGGGGAGCGAGGGTGTCACGCTTGGAGAAGTCGCTTCCGCAGGTCCAGCCCTTGAAGTCGAATCCGCCGTAGTTGCTGAAGGAACCAGTGTTGAGGTCACCCCAGGAGAAGCCCGACTTCTGCTTGTCGTCACACTCGTTGTTGGTGTTGTCGGGGCAGTCGAAGGAGGGGAACTTGTTCCAGCCCTGTGAAGGGTGTTAGTGATGCGCGGGAAATGTTTTGTAAGTGGAGTTGCAACATACAGTAGCAGTGACCTGGCTAGCGCCGGCGAGGGCAAGAAGAGCAACGGTGTTCTTCATTTTGATTGTTGGTTGACGAAGGTATTCTTTCTTGAGTGAGAGTGTTACTTTGTTCTGAAGCGAATGAAACAAAAAACTAGGTTGATATTAAGGTGAGAGAAAGAAGCGAATGACTTTGCTCTCAGAAAGCGAATGGACTGTTTGTTTGATAGAACGAAAGTAGGAAAGAATGTTCGATGAGGGACAAGAATCGAAACACCAAACAGCGGCGGGAAGAGACAGGATCTATATACCAAGTGAACGAGGAGCATCACGGGGGCATGGTTGGTTGTGAGGACTCCAGTCTCTCACCTGAAGAGACGATGAGCAGGGGGGTGTGGACGACGTGAGAGCGTGAGGGTGAGGTACCTTAGCGCAGTAAGCATGAGCTGCACGGAGACGGGGGACGGGGGTGGTGGGAAGGGGAGGGGACGGAGTGGGGCCACACTGGAGTGGTAGGCTAGCGCAGGTCCAAGAGTTGAGAGTCGACGTCCAGGAGGAGCACGGGGGCCACCACCAAGTCTAGCACGGACTGGCGGACTGGGGGACCCGTTGCATGGCCATGAATGTGGACGACACTAGACATGGGGCCTCGAAGGGTGGCCGAGGTGGGCGCAAAAGTGGATATTCTTGTCCAGTGCTGCTTGCTTGCTTGAATGCTTGCCTTCTTCCACAGGACCACCACCGCACAGCGAAGCCGGGCTTGATGCCGGTCTTTCTGACGGCCGTCACCGCATCTGACTGGACGAGTGTGAAGAACGGGGATTGCAGGATGGGGCCCAGAAACAGCACTGCCTCTTCTTCGAGCCATCAGGCACCTGGACGGTTCCTATTCGAGCGAGCTTTCCACAGGATCGGAGCAAGGAAGAGACGGGCCCCCTGGATGCCGGATAGAATGGCCATTATCATCCATGCCTCCATGAGGAAGCATGACAACGGGAGTCGACGGGATCCCGAGCAGTGCCTCATTGTGCAAGCATTGTACAGTATCGATAGGTACCCATCGGGCGGTTCGTCTACCGAGAGCTTTCAACTCCCGGAACGACGTTCAGATTGAGTGAGCTCAGCCTTCCGGAGTAATGCAGCAGAGGCTAGGACGGGGTCGCAGCATGGAGAATGACGATATGGTTATCCAGTCTGCTTGAGCACACGAGGTGCAGGAGGCGCCATGTGGAGATGGTGGTGATGCTGGGCTGAGACTAAGGGCACCGCCTGTTATGCCTGAGATGAAGGCGTAGTCGATCAACGGTGGTGGACGGATGAGACGGAAGCTGGGAGGCAGTAAGACAGCGGCGGCAGGTTTGGTTTGATGATGGTGAGATGTTGCGGCGAGTCTGTGAGGTGGTGTGCGAGATGAGGCGAGGTCGGTGCGGCTGCGGCGGGTGCGCTCTGGCTAGGCTCGTATCCCGCCGCCGGATCTGATTGATGGCGATGATGCCTGTGCCTGGTGAAGCGGTTCGGACGAAGGACGAGACGTGCTGCAGCCCGCAGGCGCCTCACAGCAGACTCGCAAGCTGTCTGCACCTCACCTCAGCCAAAGGAGCCGAGCCGCCTCGAGGCTCAAGCTCAGAAAAGGCCGAGCCTGATGGGCTGCAGATGTCGGGTCACGGGTGCCATCTGCCAGGTGCAGTTTACCCGCCTTCACCTTCCATCGATGCTTTCTGTCGGTACGTATCTTTCCTTCCTTCGCTCTTGCTTTTCAGGGGCGGCGTAAACAGAGACTCGAGAGAGAACCTAGGTAAGCTAAAGAAAACCGACGACATGGGAGGCCCAAGCTACCATCTGGACCTCTGCCTTACAGCAAGCCGCCGGGCGCTGGACGTTGGGCTGGGCGTTGGGCGCTGGGCGCTGCAAGATCCATCATTGAGCAGGAGAGCAAATCACCAGTGGCAGACAGCCCCGTGGCTTGCTATTCTGTGCTGCACCATGTCCCGTATTGGAAATGGTGAGTCGTGTGGTGTTGAGTGGCTAAAGACGTTTGGATTTCGAGATGCCACTTTTTTCCCCCCCTCTGTGCCTACACTAGGTCGCAGTTGCCAATTGCAACCCCTACCTAGCCAAGGGTGCACCTTACTCTTTTTTTTTTTTTTTTTTTTTTTTTTTTTGTCANTTTTTTTTTTTTTTTTTTTTTTTTTTTTTAGTCAGGGGTAAACGCCCACTGAATCTGGAATCTGGTGCCACCACCACCCACGACTGGCCCCGAAGGCGCTCCCCTCCACACCTTACAGCGCCTGGGGCATCCGTCGCTGCCAGCCAGCCAATCAGGCCGCCGTTCGTCACCTCCATCAAGGACCTGCAGAGGGTGGACGGGACATCCCAGGTTGAGTGGCCGCGACGCGCTGTCTCCCGCGCCTAACGTCAGCCGGCCAGCGCTTTGGGGTTGACGGCGGTACCGAGTAAAATGACGATGCACGTAATCCAGATATTTTAGGACCCGACTTTTGCACTTGTTGACGCATACGACAGTGCCAACGTTAATTTAGAAGGTTGATGCTGTTAAACTTACACACTTGCTCGCCTGCATGCATATCCGCCCTTCCCGAGGGCCCTCTTCTCCGGAGCCAACACACATTCCATGAATACCTAGGGCTGTGTACGAATATTGATCCCTCCGAATGTATCTTCCTCCTACCCAACACTAACCTACTTTACTGACTGCGTATATCTGAGGATTGTGTGGGAGCATTGGACGAAAGAAGCTTAGATGCATAGTAGACAGCGGGAGCAAAAAAAGGGGGGGCCACCCTATGACAGACGCTGGGTCGTCTGAAAGCTGCACGTTCTCGCGACAACAGACGAAAAAGCTGCGCTGCTCTAAACCTGTCCGGTATTTCTCCGAACACATTGGCCGTGTTGACGGTCGACTGTGACTGCAACTCCCGTCCTGGTCCATGCCTGTGATGCCTTCGGTTCCTTGCCTGGGCTCTCTGCTGTCTCTTGCAACGAGGGGCCCCTTGCCCAAGTGCAAGTTGAAACGCTCAGCCACTGCGCCGCTCCCCAAGCTACGCTAATGCAGGAACGCCATCCAATGGCCAATCATCGCTTCGCGGATGGGAAACTTCTTGGGCAAGGGGAAACCCCCTGCCCCTGCCCCTGCCCCTGCTCCTGCTCCCACTTAGGTGTATTCGACATCAAGGGGTCCATCATCATGGCCTGGCACCAGGGCAGTCAGCCACTGGCAGCATTCCAGTCCAGAGCTCCATCGACCCACAACTTTCCCCTGTCCAACATCGATTCACTCGCCCATTTCCATCATCCCCCCGACTACGGCCCTGCCTTTCTGCAAGGGGAAAATCACCACCTACCGCTGAAAATGGCCATACGCGCATCGCAGCCCTCCGATCTGGGCACTCTATCCTCTTCTCCCCCCTGGCTACCGAGTAAAAAATCTGTCGACCACTACTACCACCACGGCCTGCCATCGACGCTCCTCCTCGAGAGCCGCCATGCCTCTCCAAGACCCCAAGTCCTCCCGAACCCGGGGTCCCAGATCCACGAGCCACGCTTTCCCCAATCATTACACCAACAGTCGGCCTTGCTTTCCAAATCCATCCGCCATGCTGAACATCCCGGTTGCCCATGCTCAGACCCTCTGGCCAGCAGGCTCCACGATGCTGTGACCGTCGTCTCTCTCCCGCCAGTCCCCTCCAAGACCCTCCAGCGTAATCAGATCCTCCTTTTCCTGCCCTCCGAGAACAGACTATCGTCTAAATCGTTCGATCCAGCGCCCACTCCCGTTGCCACGCCTGTCAAGCGATATCATCTCGTGTTGGTTATATTCCTTTCCACGTAATGCCCAGGGCCTCCGGATACTGCCAGCCGGCCATGCTTGTCAGCGAACACAAACCGAGACCGACAACCGGACATAGACCAGATAGCTTCTTCCTGCTGGGTCAGCATCACCAGAGTCCGTTCATACGGTAGCCGAATACATCCGAGCCAGCCTTGCCAGTCCTCAGTCGCTGGTAGCGACCTGACGCTCAGCATGGCCTGCCTCATCAGTGCCTCCTGCTTCTATCCGTAGATATTTCGACCCCCAAACAGAGCTCAAAGCACCATGTCATATCACGTCATGATGCTTGGTCTTGAGCGGGCCCAGGACGACGGCCGAGAAAGTTTTCCAAATCGTGATGGGACCGGAAGCCATCTCAAGTGCTTTCTTTGGCTCTGGAAAACGGCTTGTTTCACGACAAAAGCCACCCGAATCGAACTCAGCACAATCGATTGTGAGTGTTAGACCCAACGGCCAAGCGAGAACGACGGCGCGTTACCACCTTGGCGGCAAAGTAACGCTAGTGGTGGTCTCGGCATCGCCCATATCCACGCCCATTTAGGCCCTCGGCGTTTCTCCTCTGTTTGTGGATCGACAACCCGACAACCTTTTCTCGGTTTAGATTTTGTTTTAGATTTAAGCATCCTTCTGGTCGGTGGATGAACGAATCGCCGCTTCATGAATGGCGATATGTCGGGCGGCCTGGGCCATGATTCGAGACCTCGATCAACATATGCATATGGATGACGCTGGGCTTCTGGCCGCGCGGCACCAGTGTGATGGCCGCTGACAAGCTGGCGCCTCTCGAGAGACCACAGGTCTGCAGTGGTCGCCAGATGGAGGCTCAATCTGAGACATAGCAACGCCTTTGCAGCCTGACAAGAGGTTAATACTTGCGAATAGGCGCCTGCACCGAGCATCAAGCTGCTTCGCCCAGCGCCTCTGCCCCTCGCCAGTCAGCCAATTCTGTAAGGACACAAATTGATTGGGCTCGACGCTTTCGGCCTCGACTGCGACTTGAGGTTGCTTTGGCTTTTCGAACTGCCATCAACTTGTGACCGATAGAACCGAAGACCAGCGGTTCTCGCCTGCATGACGTCGGCAAACTGCCCTATCGGATGGTTACTAAGCCTAAAGAAGCCAGGTCAACCGGGGGGGACTTTTCCTAATCCAGAGCCTCACCTGAATCTGAGAATCCGAACCATTCCCAAAATCGCCAGTGATACAACCGTCTCTTTCCCCCCTCTGG